ATAAGGAAATAAATTGTTATACCGGTCAGAACCGTCGCCATAATCAGGGCCAACAATCTCCTACCATTGCTCAAGTTCTGATTCAACCGTTCGATGTTTGATCTGGCGTACGACAAGATTGTATTCTGGTACGCATTCTACTCATCTACGCCATTGACCGAATACCTAGGAGGGCCCTACGCGGTTTTGACTGAGTGGAAATTGTACCCGGGCTCAAGGGGGAGGGGGGCGACTGGACTTGGCTACGCTGGTAATATCCCTCTGCTAGCATCAAGTTTTGTTGTGATCAGTAGTTAGCGGCGGCATGGGTCAAGGAAGTTGCTAAATGAGTCAGTTTATCCACAAACGCTGGGCAGACGAACATGTTTTCGGCCTGTATTTCTCGCCAGGATGAAACATCTCTCAGGATAAGTGATCGTCAGTGGATAATTTCAAATACATCAGGGCGAGGTTGCTGTTAGGAGCCCGCCCCACGAGGTGCCCTGGCGAACTCTCGGGTCACAATATCGATCCGCCCACACACACAAAGACCGCGCGCGCACGTGCGCGAATTCAAGGAGCCGAGGTCAACACGACGCTTTCGGGGATAGGGATGGACCAATCAGACTGCCGATCGAGTCAGGACACAATCTGATTGGCCCGATTTATTACCTGCCTTGCTTAGACACCAGTACAAGGGAAAAAAAAATAAAAGACTTCCTTTTCTTGCGACCTTGCTCCTTGTGGGATTGAAACAAAGCGTCTGGGGCGACAAAAAATCTAGCTTTTGGCAACATTGCAATAGTTGTTGCCGTGCTTAGACACTACAAATATTAGTCCCCTAAACGACGCTAAGCAAAGGGTGTTCAAAATGCTTATAAAGTTTGCACGGACCCGTCGTCACAAATGTCAGCGTACACTGGATATCCGTTCAGACTGCGTGCAGCATGTGAACGAAAACTGGAGGCATTTGACCACCGAGGACTGACAACCATTATTCGAGTTAAGTACACAGACTTCGTCCAAATGACGCAGTCGTGAGAATATCCCATTTCATCCAAGGAAAACGACTGGTGTAGTTTAGGCCCGTTCTTCGTCATCAAACTCAGGAGCTCAGCTTTGCTGCCTTTGATTCAGTGTCAGTGTCCACCTCAGGGCACCGAAGAACGGGCAACTTCAAACCCTGTCCAACATAATTAAGCTAAGCATGAACGTGCTTCTTGGATATTCGAACGGCGTAGAGAATTAAACAGTCCAGCTCACAAATTCGCTGTTACAGATCGTCGTATGTGTTTGGATATGATTCGCGACAATATCAATGGCGACTGGATAAAGCGTTATCATGATCGCACCAAGTACAAGTACAATACCACCTTCACTTGGTAATAAATTCGTCCGCGTGGTTTGGAAGGAGAGCGTGGTCAGGATTTGATTTTCTTTTTCCGACCAATTACTGCTCAGCAACCAAGCATTATGCAGCAGGTTTGCGACGCTTACTGCCAAGAGTAAGGAAATAAAAACAAGTCTACTTGTTACCGGTGGAAACACGGACAATGCATATCGAAACGGACCTCTCAACGAACTCTAAGTGCTAAATAAACGAACTCTCACGTTGAACAAACAAGTAGTCTGGCATTAAGAGCGAAACAAAAACTATCAAAG